ACTATATCTCTATACTGCATACTGATCACTATATCTCTATACTGTATACTGAACTATATCTCTATACTGCATACTGAACTATGTCTCTATTATATCTCTATCCTGTATACTGAACTATAATGCACTTGTAAGGCCACATATTGAGTATGGAATTATAACATGGGGGGGCGTAAAAAATGCTAAACTACAGAAAATCAAGTCTCTGCAAAAAAGGGCAATTAGAGCAGTAAATAATAGTTCATTTAAGGCACATTCAGATCCAATATTTTTCAGATTAGAACTCCTAAATTTTGATGATATATATAAACTAGGTGTTCTATCTTTTATGCATAAATACTTTTATGAAAACCTTCCAGCTTCCTTCCAGGATATGTATAATTCTTTAGCTGAACCAAATAGAACAAATCATATAAACTTGATCGGGTTCTCTTTAAAACTCTAGAATGTTTTCCCTCTGCTTTATTTCCAAAAATATGGAATTCGCTTGAATTAGAGCTTAAAGAAACTAAATCTGCAAAATCGTTTTAAAAAAAGTCGCCAAGATCTCTTTAGATAGTTATGCAAATTATATCTGTAAAAAAAACTGTGTATCATGTGGATAAACTTAGTCTTTACTATCTTCATCACACTGTATTTCATAAACATGATTTTAACAACTTATGTTACCCTCTGTTCCAACCCTTTCGCTGAGTATCCTCCCTTTCCCTTATACTCCCTCACCTCCTCCTTACCATTTTCCTGATTTATCATCATTCTTATGTTTAAAATGTACAATGTACATATTGTTTTTATCTGCAATTCTCATTCGTTTATAGTGGGCCAACCAATTAAAACAACCTACTCTGGTTAGGCGGGTCCAAACTACATAGTAAATTGTGATTTTTTTAATTGTATTATCTCGAGCTTTGTAGTTTGTATACTGAACTATATCTCTATTATATCTCTATCCTGTATACTAAACTATATCTCTATTATATATCTATCCTGAATACTGAACTAAATCTCTATATCTATCCTGTATACTGAACTATATCTATATATCTATCCTGCATTACTGAACTATATCTCTATTATATATCTATTCTGTAAACTGAACTATATCTCTATTATATATCTATCCTGTATACTGAACTATATCTCTAGTATATATCTATCCTGTATACTGAACTATATATCTATATCTATCCTGTATACTGAACTATATCTCTATTATATATCTATCCTGTTTACTGAACTATATATCAATTATATCTCTATCCTGTATACTGAAATATATATCTATTATATCTCTATCCTGTATACTGAACTATATATCTATTATATCTATTCTGTATACTGAACTATATCTCTATTATATCTCTATCCTGTATACTGAACTATATCTATATATCTATCCTGTTTACTGAACTATATCTCTATTATATATTTATCCTGTATACTGAACTATATCTATATATCTATCCTGTTTACTGAACTATATCTCTATTATATATCTATCCTGTATACTGAACTATATCTATATATCTATCCTGTTTACTGAACTATATATCTATTATATATCTATCCTGTATACTGAACTATACCTATATCTCTATCCTGTATACTGAACTATATCTCTATTATTTATCTATCCTGTATACTGAACTATATCTCTATTATATCTCTATCCTGTATACTGAACTATATCTTTATTATATATCTATCCTGTATACTGAACTATATCTCTATTATATATCTATCCTGTATACTGAACTATATCTCTATTATATATCTATCCTGTATACTGAACTATATATCTATTATATCTCTATCCTGTATACTGAACTATATCTCTATTATATCTATCCTGTATACTGAACTATATCTCTATTATTTCTCTATCCTGTATACTGAACTATATCTATATATCTATCCTGTTTACTGAACTATATCTCTATTATATATCTACCATGTATACTGAACTATATCTCTATTATATATCTATCCTGTATATTGAACTATATCTCTATTATATCTCTATCCTGTTTACTGAACTATATCTCTATTATATCTCTATCCTGTATACTGAACTATATATCTATTATATATCTATCCTGTATACTGAACTATATGTATATCTCTATCCTCTATCCTGTTTACTGAACTATATCTCTATTATATCTCTATCCTGTATACTGAACTATATATCTATTATATATCTATCCTGTATACTGAACTATATGTATATATCTATCCTGGATACTGAACTATATATCTATTATATATCTATCCTGTATACTGAACTATATATCTATTATATATCTATCCTGTATACTGAAATATATCTATATCTCTATCCTGTATACTGAAATATATCTATATCTCTATCCTGTATACTGAACTGGATAAGTTTAAAGATCTGACCCTGCTCTGTGTATGAGTATCTACTGCAAGGTCGGATGAAGGGCGGGAACTAGTTAACCCTGACATTGGAATAAGACCAGGGAAAGTAAGTAAGGTACTCTACAAGAATGTGCATCCCTTGTTTCAATAAATGATTTTATCTCAACCGGCCAGGAATACTTTTTCATCTGATTTAAACCTGCTTTAAACACTTCCTTTACCAGAATTGCATTTCATTCATTTATGTCTTACAATTGCCATGACATTTTTTTTAAAAAGGGTTTTGAATAACCTGTATAAAGTTAAAAATTCATATCAAATGATTTGAAATCAAACCTTTACGCAAATAATGTTAAATAATTATTCAAAGTTAAAAATTAAAGATATTTAGAGTAAAAATATTTTTGGTTGAAGACCCAAATTATATCGACATTCTTTGTCTCCAACTTTTTATTCATAGCGTAAAAATATCATAACTATTAAAAAAATCAGCCCACCATAATTCAATTTCGAATGTAGACAAAAATGGATCAGAATTAAAAATGTTTTAAATCTAAATCCTTGAAAAGTACTTAGCTTGAGAATAGACTAGTAAAAGTTTTACAGCGTTTTAACAGTTCTTGCAATGGTTTAAAAATTTGCTTGTCTGTCTGTCTGTTTGTCTGTTTGTATCCAATAAAAGACAAAACAGCTGAACCGATAGGGCCTTGTGAAAGTTTATGGACTGTTAAAAAAAAATTTTAGATCATGGTTTTTTTAATGCGCCATTTCGAATAGAAAAATTTGTCAAAAGCTAAAACTATTTGCAGGGTAGGGGGTGCGAAGCGCCCTAAAAGCCTAGTCATCTAAATTTGCACAGATTGAATTTATGAATATTGTTTATGTTAGATAAACCTTGATAAGTCCCCCTGAGCCCCGAAATCTTGGCTACGTCTGAAGGACATCGATTGCATTTATTTTGTGACATTTTTAAGGAGTCAATGGAATTTTTTAGTCACTTCCCCCCCCCCCCTTACAACAATTGAATGTGACTCGAAATATTAGGACTGTAAGTCCGCGATCGGTTTTTGTGTTTTGACATTGAATGGATACATACAAACAACTAGGCAAGCCTAAGGAATTAATTCTTTGCCCCAACCTAAAATTTTCTAATCCCTATATCTTTACAACCTGATTTTGTAATCCTTGGATATCTCAAACTTAGATTATTTAATCTAACAGAATTTAAAGTTTGAAATATCTACGGTCTAAAACATTTGGCTGCAAATAAAATCAGAATTTGTGGCAAAAACTCAATTTCCTGAATATAAAACTATAAAAGCAAAACTGTTCACCTTTGAATTGAAAATATTGATTATAAAAACTGTTGATTTGGAACCCTCCGCTTACAAAACGCCAAGTAAGATTAAATAAAAAGTAGAAGAATGCAATTTAACCAAAGAGAATAGAATGTATGTTAGAGTGGAATTTAGGCAATCCCTCGGAATGAATTTTGTCAATCCCTAGGTATGAATTTTGTCAGTCCCTTTCAGCCTGAAAGGAAGTTCAAAGTGTACAAATCATGTAAATGTTCACAAATTATATGCAGTTGAGTACATTAATACAGTATGTTCCCTATAGACTATCCATTTCAATTTCGAATTTTTTAAAGCTGTTAAATAAACTTTATAAAATGAATTAGGGGAATAAAAAACATAATTTGATTTATAGTTATAACGGAAAATCATCGTTTGTAAAGTGAAAAGCATAGAGTCCTTGGTCAATTATGAAGCCTATTTTATAATTTGGTTTTCTTTTAATATTGATTTTAGATTTTCTCTAAAATTATGTTCCAGGGCCCGAAAGGTTATATAGCACAAATATGTGAAGTACACCTGCAGTATGGAAACAGTACAACAAAATGGCCGTTTTACACTTTTTTTTTAGTAAATTCCCGTCTAATATATATTTTCTATTCTCTCTGAATTTAACTTTAGAATGAGATGAAATGACATTATATTTAAGGAACTAGAATGCACTTTCCTTGTTAATGGAGTTCATGACATGGTTAATTATGGTTGTCCGATTGTTTTCTATTACTTTTCTCCAGGTTCTTATTTTATCAGTTTTTTGTAAAAAAAAGATAATATGTCCTTGGTCTTACACTCTTTAGAGTTCTAGACATCTATTTTATTTCTCAATCCCAAATTTTCTTTTTTTCTATTTATCACAAATTTTCTTTTTTTCTATTTATCACAAATTTTCTTTTTCCTTAACTTAAACATAATTTATGTTCTTTTAACGCAATTCCGAGTTTCCTTTTTTGCTGTCGATCCCAAAAATTAGTTTTTCTCCCAATCCCAAAATATTTTCAACCAATTCATTTTGAATTCTTAATTCTTTTTGGTATCAAGATGCTGATGCTGATTCTGTGCCCAACAGTAATCAAAAGAATCCATCAGTTGATAATAAATATTCTAAAGTAATTAAATCTTTGAAAAAACTTTGATTTTTTCATCACCATATCTTTGGAACCTGGAGGTGTAAACCTTTGATACTTAAAATTAGATAATTTGATCTATTAGAAAATTAGAGTTTTTGTCAAAAACACAATTTCTTCGATTATTAAGATAAATATTTTATATTAAATATATAGAGATATGTATCTTATACATGGATATATCAGGGTTGGATATATTAGGGTTGGGAATATCAGGGTTGGGAATATCAGGGTTGGGTATATCAGGGTTGGGAATATCAGGGTTGGGAATAACAGGATTGGGAATATCAGGGTTGGGAATATCAGGATTGGGTATATCAGGGTTATGTATATCATGGTTGGATATACCAGGGTTGGGTATATCAGGGTTACGTATATCAGGGTTGGATATATCAGGGTTGGATATATCAGGGTTGGGAATAACAGGGTTGGGAATAACAGGGTTGGGAATATCAGGGTTGGGAATATCAGGGTTGGGTATATCAGGGTTGGATATACCAGGGTTCGGTATATCAGAATTATGTATATCAGGGTTGGATATATCAGGGTTAGGTATATCAGGGTTAGGTATTATATCAGGGTTAGGAATATCAGGGTTAGGTATATCAGGTTTAGGTATTATATCATGGTTGGGAATATTAGGGTTGGATATATAAGGGTTGGGTATATCAGGGCTATGTATATCAGGGTTAGGTATATCAGGGTTAGGTATATCAGGGCTATGTAAATCAGGGTTGGGTATATTAGGGTTGGGTATATCACGGTTGGTTATATCAGGGTTAATAAATATCATATCAGGGTTGGGACCAGGATACTGATATTGTCCCACACTCTTTGATCCTTTTAAACCACACGGATATCCTACGTGTTTCCGTTCTAAACAAGAACAGGGTTATTCACAAAGAATGCGACTTTAATGAAAACTTAAAATTTCTATGATATACTTGGGTATACAATTTTATATAGCTTGCATCAAAAAAATATCTTTTTAATATTATGCATAATTAAAGTTAAGACATGGTGGTACAAAGTTGATGATTTTGATACTGCAGTCGCCTAGCTTGGGAAATGTTGACTTTTCCCAATTTTCTCTTCATATCAAAAACTCCCACCAATGGCAGTGCAGTATACTGGTCACGTAATACAGAGGGAGTCACGTGATAAAGATACTCCACTGCCATTGGAAGGAGTTCTGGTCACATGATACGGACGTATTTATGATATTATCAATTATATCTATTAAAAATGAAAAACTATTAAATTCAAATAATATTAGGAGCAAACCTAAGTTTCTTAGGCTTTTCTGGGTTATTGTTGTCTTCAGAATGGTTGTGTATTTGCTGAATATGATCCGTTTAAACCTACTATTCTTATTCAAAGTTTTATATTTTATATTTTCGTATAAATTTGATACAGTTTTATATCAATTTCTCGAGACAGGAACATTAGATAGAACTCTCATGGGTCTTGATCAACTCCTAAAATGCTTGGGGTTCGGCCTATACCCCCTTTCATTTTTCCTTTACAGTCCCTTTAAAGAAGATGATCGAATACTTATTTTAACAAAGTAGAGTTGAAAATCAAACCTGAATCATGAAACGTCTCTGTAAGTTTGAGATGAGAGTGATTGCATGTTCGGATTAGATAAATCCATTTCACGATCATGATACTTTGAATCATTTTTCGGGGGTCAGGGGGGGGCGCACAGTGGGGTATTATGGGGGGGGTCATCCAAAATGATTTTATTTCATAAACCTCTTATTTATGTCAAATAAGGCTTGGCCGCATGAGAATTTTTTTTTGTTATGTTTTAGTTATGAACTTTGACCAAAACCCCGCTTATTCATTGAAAACTCATAAAATAGGATTTATTAACTTGCTACTCGAGACTTAATCAAGGTTTTTGCGTGCTGCTGGCGCCTCAAAATCTTTTCTGTACGGCTGTTAGAATCTTTTTATATCTATAGATTTTCAAGAAACCCCTGTGCTTTCTTGTGCTTTTACTATACAATATAAGTTTTTCTTCCGAAATACTCGCTGAACAAAGACGACATATAAATATATTGCGGGATTACAGGATCCATAAATATATGAACGGGAAAAGTAATTATAAATTGAAATCATTATAAATCAATATGCTAGCTATACTTCACACAATGTATGTCAATGAAAAGATTATCAGAATATATTCATTTTGTCCATTCTCACCATGAAATACAAGACAAATGCATTTTAAGAGGAGTATTGTGACAAAAACAGTCACCCCCCCCCCATGACCCCCTAAAATACCGCACCGTGGGGCGTATTATTTACAAAGAGAGATTTATTCATTTTTCAAATCCATGTTAAAGAGCTTTAGGGGTAATTTTAAGAACATTTTTCGATTCACAATGGTAGTTAAAAATATTTTCTGATTATGACTGAGATTAATAAAGCATACATTCTTTCATAAGTAAAATTGATCATTTTCAATTCTGGTTTCTATATGAAACTTACATGAGTTTTTCTGGGTCAGAAAACACTTTTCTAGCTGGAAAATCGACGATATTTAAAAAAAAATAATCTTTAGAAAAAGTTTCCTTTAATTTGGTTCAACAGTTTCCTTGATTACAAAGTTAATGTAATACAATCAATTACGATCGATTATCCAATTATCCAACTTTGATATTGGCAACATTAACTGTTCAGACTTACAGACAATTATTATCAAAAATACCCACAGAGTTAATAATTATTAATCTAAATGCTACATTTAACAAACATTGTCGACGCGTGGTATTTTTATCTATTTCTTCCTTGTTCCAAATTGCTAATCTGATCCGGCGCCTAGGGAAGACGTCGGGCGCGCTTAAATTTCCTGGCGCCGGCGCCTAGAACGATCTCTAGTTTTGTATCAGTTCAAGAAGAGAAGTGAAGGAAGAATGAGACGAACAGCTGCTCTAGTTGCAGCATCCTGTCTTGTTACAGTTGCGTCAGGTTGGTGCTACTTTAACATTTTAGTTTAAGTTTTTACAACAATATATTTTTTGTCTTTCATGGTTTCATAATAACGTAAATCGACGTTCATTGACGTTAGTCGTTAAAAAAAACGTTTTCTAAATATAAGTATATATATTGTTTTGCTGTTAGAATCACAATATTAAAACAAAATGTAAGTTCTGTAGTTTATTCAAATGCACAGTTATTTTTTAGGGTACATTTTCTCAATGGCGATAAAGATTTATCCAGAATAATCATCAATATTTAAACAAGATGATTTGAAAAATTTATTTAGATAGAGATTGAAACTTTTGACTGATCTAAAGCTAATCTACAACGTCTTGAAATCGAAGATAGAACTTTTAATTTGGAGCGACTAAGCATATAGTTCGTATTTTTGTAATATCTTATTGTACAGCAGTAGATTTTTGATGGCTTCTAAATGAGCATTCTTTAAAAATAGTCAAAAGCGTATAATTTATTCCGGATAGAATAGCGTTTAATTTAATCCAGGTAGAATAGCGTTTAATTTATTCCAGATAGAATAGCGTTTAATTTATTCCAGATAGAATAGCGTTTAATTTAATCCAGATAGAATAGCGTTTAATTTAATCCAGATAGAATAGCGTTTAATTTAATCCAGATAGAGTAGCGTTTAATTTAATCCGGATAGAATAGCGTTTAATTTAATCCGGATAGAATAGCGTTTAATTTAATCCGGATAGAATAGCGTTTAATTTAATCCGGATTCCTGGTTTCTAAAAGGATTAAGAATACAATTTGGGATTGGAATAAAATAACATGTTTTGGGTTAGGACAAAATTAATTTGGATAGGACAGAATAAACTTGTATCAGGCAGAATATATTGGGATAGGACTGGATAAGTTGGGATAGGACAGAATGCATTGGGATTTAAACGGAAAGATTAGGTTAGGACAGAATAGATTGGGATGAGACAGAATAGATTGTGATAAGACAGAATAGATTGGGATAGGACAGAAAAGATTGGGATAGGACAGAAAAGATTGGGATAGGACAGAATCGATTGGTAAAGGACTGGCCACATTGGGATAGGACATAAAATCTTAAGACACGATAAATTTGTATTTAATGATATGGATAAAAATGAATGAAAGTATTCACGAATATAAGAACTTTATCTTAATCAAAGGGTTAACATTGTTTAAACTGAAACAGATGATAGATAAGATGGGGCGGAATTGAATAAAGTACAATTCTGATTGAGTGAGGTTTCCGGAGAACCTTAGATGTATCTAGAATAAGGTTTAACTAGGATATCCTAGGGTTTAATGAGTAGATTAGATGTATCTAGGATAAGGTTGAACTAGGATATCCTAGGGTTTAATGAGCAGATTAGATGTATCTAGGATAAGGTTGAACTAGGATATCCAGGGGTTGAATGAGCAGCTGAGATGTATCTAGGATAAGGTTGAACTAGGATATCCAAGGGTTGAATGAGCAGCTGAGATGTATCTAGGATAAGGTTGAACTAGGATATCCTAGGGTTGAATGAGCAGCTGAGATGTATCTAGGATAAAGTTGAACTAGGATATCCTAGGGTTGAATGAGCAGCTGAGATGTATATAGGATAAGGTTGAACTAGGATATCCAAGGGTTGAATGAACTGCTGCCATAAAACGTGCACATAAGAAGAAATTTTCTCAATCGTGACAAACTCTTTTGGTTTGAACCGTTTTCACGTTGTGAAATAATTGGAGGTTTATGTAATACCCGGATACGTTTATAGTTTCTACTCTCTACCAATCCTATATTGAGCTAGAGCATACTATGAATAAGAATGTTATCTGGGTCCTATCTAGATCTTGAAGGTTGCAATGGTTTTGTACAGGTCAGTTGACCTTACTCCAGGTCCAAAGTTGAATACAGGGAATCCTATCAATCCTGTTCTTGCAATTAGTTTGTCCTTGCAGGAGATTTTAAAGGTTGCATCCCTTGATTCTCTCATTCATTGCCTCTCTCTCAATTCTTCTTTTTATTTTCACATCTTCTTCTACTCTTCCTTTTCTCTTTTAGTTTGGATTTAGATTTTCGTTTTCATCACCTTTTATTTTTTAAACATTTTCTTTTTTTGAGAAGTTGTAATCAAATATTCTGGTTTATGTATGTATGTATCTAGAGATATAGGATAACATCGTAGTTTCTTTGTCCTTTAACCTTCAATACAAGATTAATTAAAGAGGACTTCCAGGGATTTATTCTGGGTTTCATTTACCAACCTTGTTCTTCTCCGGGTACATAGAATACCATAGAAATATTGTTAATCTTATGTTTTTTAATTTATAATAATCATTTTATGTTTAGGCCAGTCCGCCTTCAGATGTCCCGAACCTAATGGATATTTTGAGGATATTCAACAGTGTGATAAATACTACGATTGTCTGGATGGAGTAGCAGAGGAGAAACTGTGCCCGGACGGTTTAGTTTTTGATCCTTTCTCCAGAAAGAGAGAACCCTGTGATCACTATTTCAATGTGGACTGTGGAGACAGACTAGAACTACGTAAGTTTACGAAAATTTCATCAAATTAAATATTTTTGTTTTTATTATTTTCTTCATATATTTGTGTATGTTTAGAGAGCCCCAAGGGACCTAGTGATCTCTGTCCTCGTTTAAACGGATTCTACTCTCACCCCGACCCTGCTGTCTGTCATATCTTCTACGCCTGCGTGGACGGTTTGGCTGAGGAGTACACCTGCTCCTCCGGTCTATGGTTCGACGAGTACTCCGGAGTGTGCAACTGGCCCGAGACCACCGACAGAACCGAGTGCAAAGCTGATTCTTATGGTAATAATTAAAAAAAGGGTTTTACAACTTTTTTCTTATTTTTTAATTATTTATTTTTTATTTTTTCTCCGATTGTCGGATGACTAACATTTGCTCTATCTTCTCCAGCTTTAGAAACAGCCAGTGGATTCAACTGCCCTGAGAAAGGACCTGCTGATGAGTTTGGACAGATTGATCCCCATCCCAAGTACTCCGACCCCAACGACTGCGCCAAGTTCTTCATCTGCTTGAACGGTATCTCCCCCAGGGAGCAGGGTTGTGAGCTGGGTCTCGTCTATAATGAACTCTCTGCACAGTGCGATGCCCCTGAGAATGTTCCAGAATGGTGAGTTCATTTTATTTTGAATAAACACTACTTTATTTTTAATTAATCTAATATTCAATTATTTCCTTCTAAATATATTTTTTTAATTATCCCTCACAAAAAAAACTTAAAATTTTATTTATTTTATATATTTAATGACTGATAAATAAATATGTATCCCTCCTTAATATTCTTTAATAGTCTTTCCTTTTTATTCTTTAAACCTCTGTATCCTTCATAAATATACTTTAAATCTCTGTATCTCTCCTAAAAGCCCTTTAAACTTCTGTATCCCTCCTAAATATTCTTGAAGCCTCTGTATCCTTCCTTAATATTCTTTGAACCTCTTAAAGCACGGAATTATTCTTATATTATATTACAGTAAGGACTACTACGCCTTCCTTGACGATGATAAGAAGAGTGTGAACCCGGCCAGGAAGTAAATCCGGGTCTGAAACCATCCTTCTTCATGTGTGGTTTGTATACGTAGAGAGACTCCCTCTTCATGTTTGTGATGAACACTGTATTTATTTATTATTTCGTCCAATATAATCAAAACTATGTTTAGACTCAATGAGTGTATATATTAATATTGGTTGGACTATTCTAAATTTGAATAAATGTTAAGTTTGTTTTAATGTTAGAGTTCATTGTGTTGAGAGGAGAGGAGATGAGAAATTGGATTCCAACCACAGGATAAACCATCGCGAACCTGACCCCAAAAATATGATCATAATAATTTTAATATCATATTTAACAAAAGGTATTCTTCTAAAAGAAATTAATTTTGAAGATTGAATGGGGGCTAGAATGCAACAAATATTGAAGGATTTGAGTAATAAATATAAAAAATTCCACCTGGGCTTGGAGGGTGGTGAGAGCTATTTCTATTCCTGTTAGTTCCTCTACTAGTTTATCCATAACAGCAACCTTTATCCTTGATCAGATATATATTATACCCAGATATATAATATACCCAGATATATAATATACCCAGATATATAAAGTACCCAGCTTTGGAAATCCGCCTATGGAAATAATCAAATCTGCGTAATGGTTATCAAATAGGAATTTTAAAAAACTTACGTGTTTCCCTCCATACCCGCCTTGAGTTCTTCCAGAACAGAATCCAGCTGATTATTAATATTCTGCCCCCCTAGCTCTGAGATCAGCTGTTCCATATTTTCCAATCTTCTTGTCAGCTGTGACAGCTGACTGTCTTGGTTTTCCGACAGCTGGGACAGCTGGCTGGTCAATCCATCTCTTTATTAGAAAAAATATACTTATTTAAAAAAAAATCTATTTGTGAGTTACAAGGTGTTCCAATAAATATTGGAATCAAGAAACGACTTGAAAATCGTTTTCTACTACCAAGTGTATCAAAATAAAGGTTGTATGTCTATTGAACTTTACAAGATGTATAGTCATGCCTTCTTTTTATTTTCTAAATAGACAGAGATTTTAAACATTTGTTATTTAAAAAATTGTATTTCTTAATATTTCCGTTAATTTTTAAGGTTAAAAAATGGTAAACCACATTTTGGATTTCCCGAGATAAAAATTTTAATTTTAACTGTTTTAATTGGAATGCTAATAACTTGTGTGCGAGTAACAGTGCCGCAGGAAGCAAAGACGAAATATAAGTCGCATTTAATCCCATGTCTATTGGACACACTGTAGATCAAAAATCGGAAAATCTTATTGGCAACATAATGAAGACGACATTTTTCCTGATTATTCAGATTTTTTCTGCTTTACCTCAAGAGAAGAATGTGCTCCCAAACCAAGAGAAGAAACCAAAACAGGAGAAAACAAAATAAAGCTCCGATAACCAGATAGAGAATCTAAACAAAATAGACAAAAAAATAAGCGAGGGGGGTAAGGGAAGACCAGCTTTATAATTTCTGCATTTGAGCCACATTCTCTTCATTTTCTCATCCGAGTCACCTCCAAATTTTCTTTCTTTCAATAATCTTCTTATCTTTCTTAACGACTTGAAAGGAAGAAGAAAATTAAAATACAAGCATAAGAATTTAGAGTATGAGGAGAGGGGGGTTTGGATCCTTTCATTTTCATGAACAATCCTTTAGAAAAGAAACCTTACCAATCGTTTGTTCGTGAGTCCTCGACCGTGAAGATCTGCTAGAAGCGTTTCCAGGGCTTTACTCTGATTCTCCGCTACAATCGAGGATAATCGCTTCCCGCTCTCACTTATCGCTTCCCGCATGTCCAGGATTATGCTGGACCGTCGCGTGTCGCTCGATGCAGTCGAGATTATCGACGGGGCCCGGCTCAACTTGGGCCTGAAAAAAATAAAACAGGTTTAAAGTGTCCCTATGAATTAATTGACAATGTAGTTTTGTCTAATGAGGGAAAAAAAAACAATATTAGATTAAGTAACGTGGTCTAAGACACAAGAATATCTTTGACTTCCTTAAAACACAATTCTACGGATTTTCTAGAAATTAACCGAGCAAGATAATGGTCAAAGTTTAAACCGTTCAAAATAACTTAAAACAACAATTATTGATCAAATTTTGCAAATAATTACTTGAATACTTTTAAAAAATCAATGGATTCTTTGCCACAAATTAAAATTTTCTAATCCCTATCATAAATTTTGGGTCTGACGGTGATAAATCTAACAATATTAAAAGTTTGAAATATCAAAGGTCTACAACATCGGGTTGCAAAGATATAGGGATTAGAAAATCAGAGTTCCTTTACCTGTTTCCAGATAGTAGCGGAGTAGGGACGGGTAGTGTTTCTCCGGCAGGTTCATGGGGCTCCAGGTAGCTGGATAAACGTCGGAGAGGATTGAAACTTGGAACAGATTTCTTCTCAAAAGGAGGATCCTTAATCAACATTTTGCTTTATATCATTTTTCATTGTATTTTAAAAATACTATTTAATATATAGAGCTTTAGAAAATAAGAAAATTATCAATTTTTTTTATCAGGTTCGGAGGGTGGGGAGTGTACTGCACTCTACTTGCAATTATGATTATTTTACCTTATTAGTTTTTTCCTTTCCATAGTTCTGCTCTGTTAGTCTCTCCGGTATCAGAGGTATGTGAGGTATGTCTCCGGGTACCTAGATTATTCTAGATTATTCTAGATTATTCTAGATTATTCTAGATTATTCTAGATTATTCTAGATTATTCTAGATTATTCTAGATTATTCTAGGATATATCCGTCCAGAGTCAACATGTATATATCTTTGAAAACCTAGAATTTTCTAGAATCCTTCCGTCCAGAGACAACAAAGATATATCTCCGGTAACCTAGAATATTCTAGAATATTATAATGTTATCCGTCCAGAGACAATATGATATATCAAAGGTTGACACGTGGTAGCAAAGACATAGGCATTAAAAAACTGGAGTTTGAGAGGAGTAATCAGTTCTTATATCTAATCCAAGATATAGAACTTTAATTCTTACTTTGAGAGAAGACATCACTTTGTTTGATTCTTTGCTTATCTCCGGGTACAGGTTTGCATCAGGATCAATCAAGGTTTGCTGTCTGAATAATAATAATAATAATAATAATAATAATACTTTCTAGGAGCTAAGTTCTCATATACCTGTGTAGTCTAGGTCTAGGAGCTAAGTTTTCTTCTACAGGATTCAGATTATTCAGATAAACCTGGTTCTCAGTTTGATGATCTTTACTCTGTAATAAAAGAATTATCGAGAAAAACAAAAGTTTAAAATAATTGTTTTTCTTCTTTCTTGATGCAAGTGAACAAACCTTAGAAAACCAACTCATAAAGGATTTTTGATCGGGTTTAGATTGAGGTTGAGTCTGAGCAAGCTGAGTTGAAACCTAAAACAAATAAATTTAAAAAAAAAAAAGGTTATTGTTTTACTACAATTCAGTAAAAAAAGAAATTTAAAAAGAAGTAAAACAAATTTTAATTGGACCCTCCAATTAGATCCGATTCACACGGTACCCTTTAATGGACCCTCCAATTAGATCCGATTCACACGGTACCCTTTAGCCTTAATATAATATAAATTCTCTTAATATCCTACAGACTCTATTGTGCCTTGATGCGCGAGTCATTTTTTTGGAGAAATGCATTTGCAAAAAGATTTCTTTTTAGAAAGAAAAACATGGATACTCCATCATGATTGCCCAGCCAAAGCTTTAAAGAGTGCTAATTAATGGAACTCGAAAATGCCAATCTATAATTGAGGGTGTCCTAAATCTCGCCAACAATTTCTTTAAGAAAAAAGATTAGATTTTTAAAATTAGATTTGAGAATATTTTTAGAAGAAAAGAGTAAGGAAGGAAGGAAGGAGGAAGGAGGAAGGAGGAATAAGGAAGGAGGAAGAAGGAAGGAGGAAGGAGGAAGAAGTAAGAAGTAACCTGAGGAAGCGGAACCTTCTCAGGGTCCCGTCCTCCTGGGAGCTGAAGGCGAATATCTAGTTCTACACCGAGAAATAATATAAAATTAAAAAAACAGAATTTAAATCATGAAACTGAGTTTTTATCAGAGGTTTATAAATCTTTAAAAAATTAAATTTTGAAAATCGATTTGTGTAGAATTATTTCGATTATTTCTTCCTTTGAAATCATCTCTAAGCTTCCTAAAAAGATTTCATGAAAGTGACAATCAAGTAAGCAAAACTTAATCAAGTATAATGTCAGATAAATCAATCCAGAAAGGCACAAATTCGAATTTTCTAATCCATATATCTTTGCAACCTGAAGGAGCAAACTTTTAACAAACTATGTAACATCTGTTTTACCAGAACTCATGATTTAAACTATGTAACGTCTACGCCATTAAGTAAAAAATAATGAAGGAGTTATGTGGCGAGAACTCATTTTTTTTATTAAATTAAAATCCACTGATATCACCCACATTAGGTGATTGATTACAGATCTAAAGGGACTGTAAGCCTAATTTCAAGTGGCCCTCTGTGTAAAAATGTCAATTCCCTATTTACAACGGTTCCCTTAAAAGCTTTGTCTGATCAATTGTGAATTGCGCATTTCTACTGTGGGAAAAAATATAGGAATAATCAGAATTAAACACTTGTACACCTAGAAAAACGACAATATCTTCCACATAATTGATCAGCTAAAGGTTTTAAGAGTACCGTTGTGAATCAGGCATTGCCATCTTTAAAATGAGAGTCACTTGAAATTACGCACACAGTCCCTTTAATCCATCCTTTTCTCTGACATTTATAATTTCCTTAAACGGTCCTCATTAAAGCCTCATATTTTGAAGGTAAATCTGTATTAAAAATCTTGTCAAAGGAATTGAGTCTTTGCCACAAACTCTGATATTCTAATCTTTATATCCTTGCAACCAAATGTTGAAGACATTATTTTTTCCAAACTATGAATTCTGTTAGATTAGATAATCTTAGTTTGAAATACCGATGGTTTACACCATTAGGTTGCATCGATATTGGGATTCGAAAATTTGAGTTTGTGGCAAAGATTCAACTCCTTTGTTTCAGTTTGAAAACCACATCTTTGTACTTTTTCCAACCTCAGACTTAGTATCTTGAGAATATCCAGGTGCTTAGAGTCCAGTCCAACTAAGGACGCGGAGAAGCAGGACGGATTTTGATCTCCGCCGTCCCGGAGAAATCCAACCCGAACCTGGCATTTACAGAAGGCTCCTCCTGCAGAGATATTTTATCATCATCATCGTTTTAATATAAGTATTGTTATTTTTTTAAATTTATATTAGGTTTTTTATCATTACTTTTATTACTATTAATATTATTATTATAACTAGAAAACAAAACCTTTCTTAAAAATTGCCAAATTAAAGATGAAATGTTGGTTTTGATCAGGAAGAATACTCCAGGTTGAGTAGATTTGGGTTTGCCAGTTACTCCGAACCAAGATATTATCCTCCAGGACTGTTTGTATCTCTAGAGTAAGGTTTTTAACAGCTCCGAACCCGGATATTATTCTCCAGGATCGTTTTTCAATTGGAAAATCAAATTAATTTGAATTCTGTAGAATTAGTATTTGTTTTACCTTGCTCCGGACTAAAACTAGTATTTGCTAGATCGGCAATTTCTCCCTTCAAATCTGCCAGACCTGAGACAGATAAGATTAAAAAATCCGATTTCTGAAAAATCAAATTTAAATAAATCTTCTTTTTATGAGATTTGTCAATCTTACCCAATCTTAGTTTTTCCACGCGAGGAGGTTCAATGAGCTTAAGATCTGTTACTGCTGAACCTTGAACAAAGAGAGGAGGTATCCGTCCTTCATCCTTCCAGATTAGTACTTCCTCATACCTGGAGCAGTATAGTTTAGTCCAAAAACTCTATTAAAAGATGTTTCAAAAAAATATTTAATTTTTAAAAGATTTCGAAATTTCACTTTTTCATTAGTTTCTTTTTCTATAGTTTTCAAACTAAAGAGGCATTGGCTGTCTTAATTAAACTTCTTTAAAAACGTGAATAACAAATTTTTCGGGTTAGGACGGTTTTACACCTGGAGCTCAGAGATCTGATATTTCTCCTGGACTCTCCGAGCAGAGCTTTCAATCCGGTCAACCTGAAAGATAAATTTTAAGCATTAAATTTCGGAAGCTAGGATCGAGGGTAGAACTGAATAATATATTCTCTACCTGTAATACTGGATAGAAATAGGATTGAGGATAGGACAGAGTAATATCTTCTCTACCTGTAGTAGTGAGTAGAACTAACTAGTTTATAGGGTTGAGGATAGGACGGAGTAATATCTGCTATACCTGTAGTAGTGAGTAGAGCTAACTAGTTTATGGAATTGAGGATAGGACGGAGTAATATTTTCTATACCTGTAGTAGTGAGTAGAGCTAACTAGTTTATGGGATTGAGTATAGGAAGGAGTAATATCTGCTATACCTGTAGTAGTGAGTAGAGCTAACTAGTTTATGGGATTGAGTATAGGACGGAGTAATAATCTTCTCTACCTGTAGTAGTGAGTAGAACTATCTAGTTTATGGGGTTCAGGATAGGACGGAGTAATATCTGCTATACCTTTAGTAGTGAGTAGAGCTAACTAGTTTACGGGATTGAGGATAGGACAGAGTAATATCTTCTGTACCTGTAGTAGTGAGTAGAACTAACTAGTTTATGGGATTGAGGATAGGACGGAGTAACATCAGCTCTAATTTCAACTCTAACCATGTCTAGTTCCAGGGGATTCAAACTAAAATATTTAGTTTTGAGAATTTAAAAAAAGAAAAAGTCGAAATCTTAGATATTTCAACATTTGACTTTATTTAATTTAGCGGAATTCATTGTTTAAAGGGTAAAATGACATCAGAGACTAAATTTAATGAATTTGAACCACCCGTTTAAATTTTAATCACTGATTCAAATCCTTCCTTAATCGGTGGTTCAAATTTGAACCGGTTTAGCGACTTTGCTCAATTTCAGTAATTTCGGTCCCTGCTGACAAAAATATAATTATTGGAAAAGAAGAGTTTTAAGTTTATTTCACCTGCTCCTAGTAAATACAATTAGCCCGTATAGCACCACTCTTGTATCCACATCCATATCGTCAATCCTGGATCTGCTCTACATAAATGGAAAAAAAAATAAGATCCTTCTGAGTTGAGAGACGGGTATACGGTAATATACTCCTGTCTCTTTATATTCATGATTCCCTCCAACTATATATAGTTTCCGAGTCCCTTAGCCGATTCCATTAGCGCCTGATCCAATCAGGGTTCAGTCATGTGTTTGCTGTCTACAAATCTGAACCAATGGAAATAATATGACGGTAACATTTATCTTGCTATCTATCTCATTATCCAATCAGAGTTATGAATCCTTTAATCGGCACTATCAGTAAGTGGAAATATATACTTCTACTGAAACTATAAGATTCTGTATTTCTTAGGCAAGTAATTCAATAAGCCATTGAAAGACTGTTTTAAATACAGAAGACTTATTTTAACCTTAAAATCGTCATATTAAAAACGTTTCAAATCGTTTCTACAGTCTTTTATTTTGTGGGTAGTTTCATTATGCACCAAAACTTCAGTGCTGCTGCAGATTATAATGCACCAAAACTTCAGTGCTGCTATAGATTATGCACCAAAACTTCAGTGCTGCTATAGATTATGCACCAAAACTTCAGTGCTGCTACAGATTATGCTCCAAAACTTGAGTGCTGCTACAGATTATGCACCAAAACTTCAGTGCTGCTGCAGATTATAATACACCAAAACTTCAGTGCTGCTACAGATTATGCTCCAAAACTTCAGTGCTGCTATAGATTATGCACCAAAACTTCAGTGTTGCTGCAGATTATGTACCAAAACTTCAGTGCTGCTGCAGATTATGGACCAAATCTTCAGTGCTGCTGCAGATTATGCACCAAAACTTCAGTGCTGCTACAGATTATGCACCAAAACTTCAGTGCTGCTACAGATTATGCACCAAAACTTCAGTGCTGCTGCAGATTATAATGCACCAAAACTTCAGTGCTGCTACAGATTATGCTCCAATACTTCAGTGCTGCTGCAGATTATGCACCAAAACTTCTTTGCTGCTACAGATTATGCACCAAAACTTCAGTGCTGCTGCAGATTATGCACCAAAACTTCAGTGCTGCTGCAGATTATGCACCAAAACTTCAGTGCTGCTACGGATTATGCACCAAAACTTCAGTGCTGCTACAGATTATGCACCAAAACTTCAGTGCTGCTGCAGATTAGGCACCAAAACTTCAGTGCTGCTGCAGATTAGGCACCAAAACTTCAGTGCTGCTTCAGAATATGCACCAAAACTTCAGTGTTGCTGCAGATTATGCACCAAAACTTCAGTGCTGCTATAGATTATGCACCAAAACTTCAGTGCTGCTTCAGACTATGCACCAAAACTTCAGTGCTGCTGCAGATTATGCACCAAAACTTCAGTGCTGCTATAGATTATGCACCAAAACTTCTGTGCTGCTTCAGACTATGCACCAAAACTTCAGCGCTGCTGCAGATTAGGCACCAAAATTTCAGTGCTGCTACAGATTATGCACCAAAACTTCAGTGCTGCTGCAGATTATGCACCAAAACTTCAGTGCTGCTACAGAATATGCACCAAAAATTCAGTGCTGCTACAGAATATGCTCCAAAACTTCAGTGCTGCTACAGATTATGCACTAAAACTTCAGTGCTGCTACAGATTATGCACCAAAACTTCTTTGCTGCTACAGATTATGCACCAAAACTTCAGTGCTGCTGCAGATTATGCACCAAAACTTCAGTGCTGCTATAGATTATGCACCAAAACTTCAGTGCTGCTACAAATTGGCATATCGAAACTAAGGTTCTCGTAAAGAATGCTTAATGAAAAAGGTCAGTTCAATATTTGATTCAATATTAAATGCCTTCCTTGGTTGTATTGATCTAACAAGCTCTCAAGCAAAAATCATTTCGAATTTTACCAATTATCTATTTAAAAACTAAACAAGTGGTTTATAGTTTAGAATCTACATGCCTAGGGATACAAAGAAGAATAAGTAAGTTTGTATGGAAAAATCCACAGCCAAGTGGTTGCAACACTTTAAAGGAACTGTAAGCGTAATTTCAAGTGAGCCTCAATGGAAAGATGTCAATGCTTAATTCACAATGGTACTCTTGAAAGTAGAAAATATAGTCGTTTTTTAGTGTCAAATGTATTATATTATTAAAAGTGATAATAATCTGTTTTTCAAAATCATATTTTTACTTAATTCATGCTTGATCAGACAAAGCTTTTAAGGGTACCGTTGTGAATCGGGTTGGAGGGTCACTTGAAATTACACTTACAGTTCCTTTTAAGTCGATTCGATTCTGGGAACCATTAGGGATTTATGCTTGATCTTGATCTTTCGTTAATCTGCAGATTAATTTAATCTTCATTCGATATCTTGCATAAATATTAATCGTACCCAGTCAGGGGTTGAAGGGAGCTTTGATCAAGGGATGAGTTGCTAAAATAAAGATATGGAAAGATGTAGTTTTTATAAATCCTCAAATGAAAAATGCCCACAGTGAATATTGAGATCTGTGGATCGGTATGTTCAGTATTCAACAGAAAAGTTCTCAGCTCTGGATCTTATTGAGGGGGAAACCCTGTAGAATGTATGTTACCTTGTTTAGGGATTTTTTCCTGAGAAAACCTGAAATCTTATTCTTCTCCTCCTTCTCCATAAGATCCCGCTCCGTGAACTGGGTTTCGTAAACCTGTAAATGTCGTCTTTTACTTGTCCAAAATTGAATTGAACTGAAGGATTTTTCTTGCGAGAGAAGGTAATGAAGGGGGGTTATTATCGGGAGTAAGTGGTAAGGAGGGAGGAGGACGTCCTGAGGTGAGGGGAAGGTGGGGTTATGGGGTTATGAGGGTGTTGTTTTTGTGAGATAGGAAGAAGAGAAGGGGGCTATTTTTGTGAGTTAGGAAGANTATATGGGATAATATCTGACCTGACACGCTAGTCTTGGCATCATGTTTAACTGATCATAGATTTCCTTATTTAATCCATCTTGGGCTGCAAACCTTAATAAGTTTTATAAAATAGATTGATGATATTGATCAGATTGATCAGATTGATCAGATTGATCAGATTTATCAGATTGATCAGATTGATCAGATTGATCAGATTGATCAGATTGATCAGATTGATCAGATTGATGATATTGATCAGATTGATCAGATTGATCAGATTGATCAGATTTATCAGATTGATCAGATTGATCAGATTTATCAGATTGATAGATTGATCAGATTGATCAGATTGATCAGATTGATCAGATTGACCAGATTGATCAGATTGATCAGATTGATCAGGTTGATCAGATTGATCATATTGATAAGATTGATTAGTGATGCAATTGGTTAGTGATGAGATTGATATGAAAAAAGTAAATAAAATCTTATTCTAATTCTAATTCAAGATCAATACAATAGAACGACGTCAAGTAAGCGAAAATGTTTAAGCACACTTTTTTATGATTATATAATCCCTCTTTCAGATTTCATACACAGCTCCTTTAACCTTTGAGTTGTTATTGCAGAGAAATATATGAAACAGGTTTTTGTCTGGCTTAAATACTACGCAAAAACATTCTCCTCACGCTGATTAAACACTTCTGTCCTTGTCCCAAAATTTGTCACTTTCGATAAAAATTTGACCAACATCTAGATTATTGTTTGTTTTTTTTTTCTTTAATGTCGGCGTTTGAAAAACTTCTGTCAGCTAAAAGATTATTGAATTAAATTACAAAACGTGATTCAAATTCAAATTGAAGAAATCGAACACATCTTAGTCCAGAGTAACTTACCCCCCCCCCTTACCCGCACACTGTATTTTGGGCTGGGTACGTTCCGACTTTTTTGAAATCGTTCCGTTCCGTTCTAGAACGAGGGCCTTGAGCGAGATCGTTCCGTTCTTTTGTTTCTAGATGATTTAGAACACATTCATGATTTAAAATGCGTTCTCGACTTTATAACGTTTTAAGCGTTCTTTTAAAAAATTTCCGTTCCGTTCCGTTCCTTTACAAATCTTGCCAACATTTTTAAGAACGCGTTCTATGCGTTCGTTCTTTTTTCGGAACGATTGGATCGTTCTTGATTGTTCTGTTCGTTCCGATTGTTCCCCAAGAACGACACCCAGCCCTAACTGTATTGATTGAGTGAATTTAAATTTAAAAGTTTAAATATGTAATATAAACAATTTAATCATATTTGTTTAAAAAACAAAATTTATATATTTAGCAATTTGTTGAATTTCTTCAGTAGAGTTCAGGATGATAAACAGAGAAGTTCTCCTCCTCCTTTTCCTTCCTCTTGTATGTCTCTCCGCCCCGTCCTTTGATAAGGCAACCCTGAATGAGCTTGATGATATTATCCATGGTAGGAGCTATGATGCCCGTCTCCGACCCGGAGGAGATGGTCCTGTAACCGTCTCCCTCTCCGGGTACATACTTCATCTTGATCATGTAGACCTGGACAACAATGAAATTACACTAACCATGTATTTCCGTCAGTTCTGGACGGATGAACGACTCAAGATCTCCAAGAGGGTTGTGTTAAATGACATCAGTGGAATTTGGCACCCGGATACATTCATCGTTCATGAGAAGAGAATGCCCAAGGTAGAAGAGGAAGAGTTTGTACGAATAGATCCATCCGGTGAGGTTCTTTACAGCAAAAAGATCACAAAGAAGCTGAGTTGTGTTCCTATCGAGGATACAACGTGTCAACTTGATTTTGAGAGCTATGGGTTCACAGCTGCAGATATTAATTATCAGATCAAGGAAGGAGCAGATCAATCCTTCCAGTTTGCTCCTGACAGGGTACAACAGGGATACATGATTACAGAACTCGAACCAAAAACTGTAACTGCCACCTTGAACACTGGAACGTACTCCAGAGTTTTCGTCAATATTAATATTGAACAGTTTAATGATTAAAGAATTAAAATTTAAATTTCTGAAAATTTCAATAAATTTGAATCACAAATTTTCTTTTGCTTTTGTTTATTATTTGACATTTAAATAAATATATAAATATATCATCTCGAAAACTTTTAGTTTTTTCATTTTGATAAATTATTTATTTCGTATGTCAGGAATTATCTCAGTATATTTAGTGTCTCGCCAATTTAAATGTTTGGTTTTGTCCCAAAGGGTTTTTCCCAGCTTGTGGCACCTTCCCAAGGGTATTTTATCCAAGTGGCACCTTCCCAAGTCTGTCCTTGCCGCAGCGCTCGGTCCCTAGCCTGTTCTAGTTTCAGCACTCGGCTCCCCTATCCCATCCCAGCCGCAGCGCTCGGCCCCGATTGCAGCATGCAGCGACTCAGAAGACCTAACCTAACATTTGGGAAGTTGCCACCTGAGAAATTTCACATTTGGAAAGTTGCCACCTGAGAAATTTCACATTTGGGAAGTTGCCACTTGGAAAATTTACACCTGGGAAGTCGCTATGGGAAAATACCTTAAGGATTAATTAAAACTGTCATTTGAGAATGAATTGTGTAGAACTTTCCATTTGAAAAGAATCAAAGGAACTAAAAAACATGGCACACACTCTAATTTTCCAATCCCAATATCTTTTGGTATTTTTTATATATCACACTTTGATCTAACATAATTATCTGTTTAAAATATACTAGGTCTATAGCGTCAAGTTGAACAGATTTAATATAAAATCCAGTTCTAGGCAAGTGTTCAGCATCTTTCTAATATACTAGGCTTAATGGAGGCTTTGGGCCACCTTTTCTATTAACGATGTTGATAGCGTTTAGATCTTGCTCTTAAAGTCGCCATTTTTTCTTTGAATATTTGTAATTATTTTTTCTTTGAATTGTAAAACTAAATTATTCGAAGATTTTTCTATTTAAATTCCTGAAGCAGAAATTTACAAGTCATTTTTTACAGAAACCACAAATAAATAGTCAAACAGTAAACATGTCACTTTTCAAATAGAGATAAAAACGGAATCAAATAGTTTTTAGAAAAGCTCTCTGAGTTGTTTACGTATATGGGCACATGTGGTCAATTTACAGTTTGCCAACTTATATATTTTGCCAATTTACATTTTGCCAACTTATATATTTGGTCAATTTACATTTTGCCCACTTATATATTTGGCCACTTTACATTTTGCCAACTTATAATTTTGGCCAATTTACATTTTGCCAATTTATATATTTGGTGAATTTACATTTTGCCAACTTATATATTTGGCAAATTTACATTTTGCCAACTTATATATTTGGCCAATTTACATTTTGCCAACTTATATATTTGGCCAATATACATTTTGCCAACTTATATATTTGGTCAATTTACATTTTGCCAACTTATATATTTGGCCAATTTACATTTTGCCAACTTATATATTTGGCCAATTTACATTTTGCCAACTTATATATTTGGCCAATTTACATTTCGCTATAACTACATTTGGTAAAATTTTAAACTTGATTTACCGTGACACATGGCCTCATTTTGGTTAACTAGCACACAAAAATAATGCAATTCCCATAAATATCAGCACGACAAATTCGCGAACGTTGGCGCCCAAATTTGACAAACTTCAAAGGACTGTAATAATAATGTCAAGTAACCTTCCATGCAAAGATGACAATATCCGATTTACAACGGTACTCTTAAAAGCTTTTATTTTCTAATCCTTATCAACGGATAAGCAAAGAGAAATAACACTTTTTGAGTCTGAAAAACGACGGTTTCTTCCATATTTTTATTCACATTAAGGTTTCAAGGGTACCGTTGTAAATCGGGCACTGCCATTTTGCATTGATGGTCACTTGAAATTACGCTTACAGTCCCTTTAATCACCTGCATTGTATATACACATATTTGTATTTGATATTTGTTGCAACGTAAAAGTTACATATCTCTACAGAGTATATAATACGTATAGATGTGTTAATATCCGAAATTTTGGATAACAAATCACAATTAAAGAAATTGACGAAATGTATCCACTCCTTAATATCACCTTATGAGAGTATCTAGAACTAGTGGGATGGATCCCAGTTTTATTCCGTCCTGTTTCACGATCCTACAGGTCTCTCTCCAGGTCTCTTCTTTACACAGCACATCTCGAGCCTTCTCCGCTTCTCCGTAGTCGACTCCTATCTTCTCCAAACCCTAGACAATCTTGGAGTTAGATAAAGTTCTTGAATGAATTATAGTTATAGTATTTTTTTTCAAACACAAAATACAAAATAATAATGTATGATGGTTCAGCTAAAAATAAAACACAAAAGAAAATTTATTATGAGCCAATTGAAAATATAATGTTGAACCCATTCTTGTTGACTGTAGTAGACTTTGACATCCACCATTAGCAAAGGGTGTGAGCCCATTCTTGTTGACTGTAGCAGACTTTGACATCCACAATTAGCAAAGGATGTGAACCCATTCTTGTTGACTGTAGTAGACTTTGACATCCACCATTAGCAAAGGGTGTGAGCCCATTCTTGTTGACTGTAGCAGACTTTGGCATCCACAATTAGCAAAGGATGTGAACCCATTCTTGTTGACTGTAGCAGACTTTGACATCCACAATTAGCAAAGGGTGTGAACCCATACTCGTTGACTGTAGTAGACTTTGACATCCACCATTAGCAAAGGGTGTAAACCCTTTCTTGTTGACTGTAGTAGACTTTGACATCTACCATTAGCAAAGGGTGTGAGCCCATTCTTGTTGACTGTAGCAGACTTTGACATCTACCATCGACAAAGGGTGTGAACCCATACTCGTTCACTGTAAAAAGGTTATATAAGGGTTGCGGCCCTAGTCCTGAATATATTCTGCAAGCATTTTGCATGCTTTCCCTCAGAGAGAGGAGGTGTTAACACCTCAACTGCTTTCTACTAACTTGTTAATGTTATTTAAATTGACTCTCCAATTTGTTAGAGTGGCATGTCCGACTTACAAAGGTACCCTATAGACTTTTATCATAGTAACGATAAGAAACATTTTCTTATCTCTTCCAAAAATAGATAATTTTAAAACACTCATTCCTTTTTTAATAAAATCTGCAAAACACTACTTTCCTTTTTGAGTAAGAAAAATAAGGACATTTCCGTCATTTTTCATCCGATAAATATTTAAAAAGTACTTCTCTTCATCTGCCTGCACTGTAGACAATTTTCAAGGGGAATACATATCTTTAAAATTACAATTTAGAAGAGAAAACCAGAAGGAAATTAATAAAGGAATTGAAACTTCTCCACACACCCAACTGTTCTAATCCCTTTGCCACCTGATGGTCTTAATCTTTTACATTTCAAATTTAGACTATTGATCTAAAAAAATTAATAGTTTGTAATGTCTAAGGTCTACGACACTGGGTTGCACAGATAGAAATCAGAGTTTGTGGCAAAAGCATAAGTATGAGAGATAAAACAACTTCACAGGCGTTCCTAGGGTATTTTGTCGTAAAAAAAAACTATATCAGGGAAATTTAACTTTTTTTTTAAATGTAAATTTTTTTATTTGAAATCCTAGAATTAGAAATATTTCTAAGACCAAATTATGTCATTTCACCAATTGTTCCTGCTTTTGACCTGAAATTTTCCATTTTCAATCTATGGAGGAAGGCAAAAAGCCCCCCCCCCCTGTAAAGAAGGGCAAAAAGCCCCCCCTACTTGCGCCTGAAATGATGACGATTAAATAGTTTATTTCAGACAAGAAATTGAGCCTTTGCCATAAATTCTGATTTTTTAATACCTATATCTTCGCAACCCATGATGTCGTAGACCTTAGATATATATAAATATAATAAAACAAGACATTCGTATATATTTTTTTCAAAATCTTTTTTATTTAATTTTTTTTCTTCACGGGCAACGCCGGGCCCTTCAGCTAGTTAAAATATGAAGTCTATCAGATCATAAAGTCTGAATTTAAAATATCAAAATACCACCAGGTTGAACAAAGTAACTTGGAGAAAATCCCTAGTGTCAGAAAAGACGACATTTGAATACCTGAATATATTCTCCGTAGGACGAGATCTCTCCGGAGAATATGCGTCTCACGCTCATCTTCTCTTAAACTGGGTTTAAAATA